TTTAAAAAATATATATATATATATGCACACACACACACCAAAAATGCAAGGGTCCAATTTTTGTACATAATAGCACTTAAGATTTTTAAATAAAAAATGTATAATCTTTAGAATTAGAGAATCTATGTGCAAATTGTACTAATGTAGGCTATGATAAAGCCATGAATTGGAGAGGAAATGGGTATTACTAGACATTTCGATGGTTACTGTGATGTTTTGGAATGATTAGTACCTAAAATTGTTGGGGAGGGCGCCCGCCCTTTGTTTCTTAAGTGATGCTATTTAATCCTACTGGAGTTATAACCCGAGTTTATGTAGTATTGGTGCAATGTTGAATGAGATGTTGAATTAAACGACTCATTTCATTGTATTTATCATTTAATGTCACATAAATTCAATATAGACTGGAGTTATAACCCCAGTGAGGCTGAATAGTATTACTCTTGTTTCTTAGACATGAATTGGTTGAAAAGTTTGTATGGTTGTCAATGCTTGAACGTGCTTATCTTCCCTTGTTAATTTTAGCATGTCCATGTTTGATTTGGACGAGCTAAATAAATATGAGTAATGCTATTTGTAATCGCTTATTACGGCAGTCGCCCTACGTGGCATACATATGGCAGATGGTTATTTGATGTATTAATGTTAGGTGCTCATTCTGGAAATACTAGAACAAAAGTTATTACATGCACTGAAAGTGAGTTTAATGTTTCATTAGTAATCGAAATTATACTTTCGTCACGTTTTACTTATTGAACTTTAAAATATCTTGGAATGGTCAATGAATTTTAACATGTTGCATTTTAGCACTTACCATATTTCATAAATTATTGAACTTTAAAATACTTTCTAGTAGCCACTTAACCTTAATATGTTGTACTTTATCACTGAATTGCCATGTTTAATTAATCACTGAACATAAATTCTCATCACGTGTTACTTACTGAATTTTAAAAAGTTTTCGAGTGGTTAATGAGTTTCATTATGTTTTCAAGTAAATTTGATTTTCTATGAGATTCGACCTGAAGAAAATAAAACAAAATAAATATCTATTAGAAAATGAGACTTTTGATCTAAGGCGAAAATATTTATATTGATAAAAAGATATAATTTCTCAAGTTGTCAAGAACTATGTTCAAGGGGAAAAAAGAATGCTAGCTTCAAATTCACACAAATCTTAATTTATAGCATAATTTTTCTTGAAGTTGAGAGAATAAAATAGAAAAAAATTATTTATTTATTTCGATTGAAATTGTAGACCCAAATTTTAAAAAAAAAATTATATCTTAAATAGATAGGGAAATTTTCGACTTAGAGTCAATAATATTAATCGAGATTAACAAAAATGTAAATAATGTTTGAGCTCCATTTTTGAGGAAAAAAAAGTTTGTTAATAGTGATTTTTTTGGAGAATGTATGGTTGAAAAATATGAATTTTTTTTTTTTAGGTTTACGTGTAAAATTATTTTTTGAGAAAATATGTTTAGGGTTGGGTAAAATGTCCGAACCGGAATCGAATCGAACGGGTTTTTTAAATGAAATACCCAAACGGGTATTCGAATCGAGAACCGAATGGTTTGGTTCGATTCTTGGTTCTAGACTCAGAACCGAAGAATCGAATAAGAATTGAATTTTTTTTTTATATTGGATAAATCAATTTCTTTTATTTTTTCTAAATAAATTAATAATTTTTTTCTTATTAAATCTTATTAGTTGAACAATTTAGAGTTTATTTATGTTTGTTAGTTGTGTTTTTTTCAATTTTTTCTTGTATAATCTCTTAGTAGTTAGTGTGGAAAGTCAAGTAATTGATTATTATATTAAATAGTTGGTAAGTATTATCAATACTTTAAAATATTTTATCTTTATTACTTCTAATTTATATTTCATTTTTATGTAGACTTGAATGTTTGAAACAAATGAATTATTGATATGAATTATCGAAGTTTTATTAGTAATATTTACTTTTTCGTATTTGTATTTGACAACTTATTATTTATATGTTATTAAATTAGATTACGTTAATTTGTAAAAGTTAAGATTGAATTTGGTA